TTCTGCAGCTCCTCCTTCTGCTGTAGCTGCTTCTCCTCCACCTTCTGCGGCGACTTGTCCACCTGTGGGTGGCGGGGGGCCTTTGCTCTTGCCCTTCGCTGGACCTTTGCCAGTCAGGCTGCTGTGGCTAGCATTAACGTCTTCTGCAGCTGCTGCTTCTCCTGCTGTAGCTGCTTCTCCTTCATCCTCAGATGCGGCATCTCCATCTTTGGTTGGTTTGGGGAGGCCTTTGCCAGCTTTCGGGGCAGTGCTGGCAGGTGTGTCGTCAGCCTTCCCAGCTTCCTCTGCTGATGTTCCACCTTTGCCGGGCACCGCAGGGCCTTTGCTGCCCGGACCTGTGGCCGAAGCGCCTTCAGCAAGCGCTTCCAGTGCAGCTCCTACTCGGTGTTCCGCTTCCAGTGGACCGACCGGATCCAAGTCCTCTGAAGCGGAGATCATGTTTCCCCTTCTGCCGTCCTCCCTCAGAGAGGAAGTCGTTTCCTTTGGACCCTTGCTACTAGCACTGCTGACATCTGGATCTGGTGATAAGTCTATTTCCAGCTGAGTTCCACCAACCAAAGCTTGTCTGCTGCCAGCGCTTCCTCTGTCCAAATCAGGCATCCTCCTCTGATTGCCTTCATCCTGGCTGAGAGACACCCTTGGACCCTCAGTGTCTTTGGACCCGCTTGGGTGGTATGTGAGGTGGAGAGTTATGCACTGCTGCACTACCAGCCACAACTTGAAACCATTTGTGACCTTGGGATTACCACACCAACCACCAAGAACTACTGGCGCATCGGGTAGTGAAGCTTCAAAATCATGTGACGTCATGTGATACATCAGTATATGATGCTTTGTGATTCTTTGTGTACAGGGTTTCTCGTTGTATCATTGAAATTATATATAAGCCCTGAACACTGCGAATCCATCCGTGGGTTTCACCATGCTCCTGAGTACATGGCTCCGCGGTCCGACAGTCTGACCGGAGACTGCTTGAAACGGCCACGTTGAACGGAGCCACTGGGTTCTTCCTACACCACTCCTGTTCCTTGCCACCTCAATGTCGACCCCTAGCTTGGTTGCCGCTGTACACATAGGTGACTGGAATAAAACTGAAATAAAACCCATCATGTGGAACATGGGCCCCAAGTTCACCCATTTTCCTCTACGTGATGTTCCACTTCGCTTGTTTCAGCGAGTGTGTACGGCCGGACCCAAACTAAAGCACCGCACCGGTCGCACCGCTGTCTCACGCTGTTGGGCCCGACAAATGGTCCTCCAGCCACTCGACGAGCGAAGGAACAGCTGAAGGAACTTCGCCCGCGCCCTGAGCCATGCCGAGCCATGCCGAGCCTTCCCAACCGTACAGCTCCCGGGCCCAGCACTGAATTGTCCGGTCAGCAATTGAAACCTGTATTCGGGCCTAACAACCCTCCATTTGGAAGGTGCTGGTATAGGGATCCAGATTGTGCCGAACCTCGGGTACAGTGAGGAAGGAGACCGACACTCTGATTGTATAGGTGCCAGCCGCTCTCGGGTCCAGTCGTACGGAACCTGAGGGTCGCGTATAGCGACAGCCAGGCCAGGAACGTCCTTGCTCCATTCATAGCGATCCCTATCCCAAACACTCCATGGGACTGCCCTGTCGGACTGCCGAGTGGCACGGCCAGGGGTGGTTGACTGGGGTCAATGTAGTAATATACCATACATGGCGTCTGGGTGGGGGTTTGGGTTCGGAACACATGGTCGCCCACCGGCTCCGAAGGATGGGCGTCGCCGGTTCCTGTGGCCTAGATGGTCTGTTGACCAAACAAAAACCAGTCAACGCCGATCCACTGAAACTGCTCCCAAAACAAACCATGGATCATGCACATAAAACCATGCAAAGCATGATGATTGACTGGTCTTCGCTCCTGTTCCATTCCATGTCGATGTAAGTATTTGTCTGTGAAAACACACAATTGATTTTCACATGTTCTTTGTGTGTAGCTGACTGCCAGTTATTACCCACGAAACGTTTGCTGCAAGTTTCACTCTAGACTCTAATCATGAAATCACATTGTGCATTATTTAAAGATTGATTCCAAACATGTTTTTGTTGCAACTGGAGCTTGGTGAATCCGACCAAAATCCCTCAAACTGAAATATGTTCGAAACAGTGCGTGGTTGTTCAAAAATAAGTCACCACAGTTTCAAGTTGACTCTGATTTCCATGCTTTGTCCGACCAATCCACCTAATGGACTGCCACGAGATATTTGTTGATGGAATAAGAGCACTGAAAAAGTACCAAAAAACAGAACATGTTATTTAGAGACCAGTATTTCAATAATGAGGAAACAAACAATTCAATATATACCTATACTGTATGCAAATATATATATAATATATATATATATATAATTTATAACTATGCAAAGATGAAAATTGAAACTTACAAAAAATCAAACAAACTACATAACAACCATGGGCACCACCCCTGGTGCAAAACAAATGTTTTTTTGTTAAACTGGTTTTATACATTACAACCATCTTTTTGAGAGGGGGATATCAAAAACAAGGTTTTTGAGACTTCAGGATTTTGTGCTGCTGAAAGCAACCATGAATTGTAGCGGCTGATCAATTGGACACGTGCTTTTCACCCTGCAACTGCAGAACAGTTTCCGCGTCGACGGCTAGCTAAGTCTAGCTAGGTCTGAGGGAACAAATATGTACTTACTTATTTGTGACTTAGCTTGGACTTAGCTAAGCTAGATTTAGCTTGGATTTAGATTAGACTTTGGCTCAACTGAGCTTGGGCTTCCTAAGTCCTAGCCGCTAGCCAAGCACACCTTAAGTCTAAGCTAACTCCGAGAAGAGTCTTCCGACACCTCTTGTTGCTAAATGTTGAAGGGGAAAGTGCAACAAAATTGTTTGACTGTACTTGTCACTTCAGTGTAAAGGCAATGTGTGTCAGAAAACTATCTGGCAGGGTTTCCCCTGCACTTCAGGCTTAAAAGGAATATGTGTCATTGTGAAAAACTTGTTTCCATCAACATTTTCTAGGACTTAGATTGGAATTACTTTGGACTTGGTTTGGACTCGGACTTAGGTCAGGCATAGGTTGGATGTACCAAGTCCAAGCCAAGTCCAAGTCAGCCGGATGTGAAATAACTTTGAATCAGCTAAGTCAGGCCTAAGCAGTTACTATCCAGAGTTAGCTAAGTCAAAGCTAAATCAAACCTAATCTTTGTAAAGGTTAAGAGACTTGAAACAAGGATTACTAGTAGGTTAGCAGGTTTATGACCTATATTACATATGGGTTGCAAGTTAAAGTTGAGGATATACCCGGCAAGTAAGGATATTGGAGCAACAATAAAAAGTTGTTGACCAGACTTCTCCAGGAACGCATCAGCAATGAGGTGGAAATACAGGTCAGGTGGAATGTGACAAATACCTCCGCTGGCATGTCAATTTCGGATCGCGGATCTTGGAGGGGTCACCCAGTGCCAGAAGACTTGTGAGGCCACAGGTTGGCGCTTGTGAGATTTGCAATGCATGTTGCGGTAAGTTTTAGCACTGGAACAGGCCGCAGGGTGGAAAACCGGGTTTTTCCCGTAGGCGACCCGTAAAAAAAAACCGTAGCCGTAGAAAACCCGTAAAAACCCTGTGGACAACCCATTAAAACTGTGGGAAAATACGTAGTTTTACGTAGTCTTCCCGTAGTTTCCAACATCCTGGGATGCTGGGTTTTGAGAGCTTTTGAATGCTCTTGGCCTGATCCGAGCGTTCCTGATCGCAGCCCAAAGGGATGCTTGCTGGGTCGAGGGCTAGCTAAGTCTAGCTAAGTCCAAGGTAGACATATTATAAGTTTTTAGTACGAGTAGTGACTTAGCTTGGACTTTGCTAAGGTAGACGTGGCTTGGATTTGGAATAAATCAATTAGGCTGAACTTAGGTTGGGCTTCCCATTATATGTCGATCCGAGCCAAGTCTCAATCTTGGTCTAAGCGAAGCCTAAGCCAAGTCCCAGCTGAGTCTTTTGAAAGTTCTTCGAAATCTTACTGAGGAATATGTGTCAGAAAATTGTCTGACAGTTCTTCCCTGTACTTCAGGCTTAAAAGGAATATGCGGCATTGTCAAAAACTTTTCTGACAGATTGGCTATAGGACTTAGCTTAGACTTACTTTGGACTCAGCTTGGACTTAGGTCGGGCAAGGGTTGGACTCACTAAGTCCAAGCTAAGTCCAAGTTAAGCTTATTGTGACTTAACTTTGATGTAGCCAAGTCAGACCTAAGCACTCACTATAACCTCCATTTTAGAGTTATACAACCATTTCCAAGCTGAATCAATTCGAACCTTTACCAAGGTTAAGTGACTGAAACCAGAGTTACTAGTAATCTGCTCTTGCATTACGGACTTATGACCTTTAGGTTATAAGTTCAAGTTAACCATATAATATTCCCGGATATTTCCTGCATTTGAACAACTCCTTAATGAAGACCCTTAAAAGGTTGTGATGATTCCCGTGCTGTGTTCGCATGAGCAATTAGCAACTTCCAATAACTACAGCTACACCGTTTGTTTCCTTCAGCGAATCAATGATGTGTTTGAATACCAAATATGTACATGCATCAAGCTGTGATTGTTGTTTTCTGTGCAGATGATGTGTGCAACGGTGTTGGGAACCAAGGTCTCCTACATCCATGTAAAAAACAACGGAAATCATTGTCCCAAAACCGGGTTTTTCAACCCACAACCGCAAAAAAACAGGTCGTAAGATAAAACCTTCCTTTTTCATCCTTTTTCATGGTTTTGAGGGTTCATGGAACAATTCGCACCGACCGCGCTGGCCAAACCACCTCGCTGAGTGATCGGGACCCTGCCGATCTCCAGGAGCGAGATCGAGACCTTAGGAACATCCAGCAACTCCAATGAACCCATGTAGGTTGGATTCTATATACAGTTTATGTGTATGCCAAAATGTGTACACATGTTAATCGATTCTATAAATCTATCATGAACCCTTTGAATCACTTTGAAGCAGGCTAAGTGACACCTCAAAAATTTATAGTCATGTCGCCCGCAACGACCCCACCCACAAAGTAAAGCATTTTACAATAAAAAGTTGATGAATTCATGAAAGTTGCGTTCCAGTCCCGTTTGCAGTGGGATTGTAAAATGAAAATCGGTTCCCAAAAAGTACCAGGGGATGTTTCAAGGAAAGGTGCTAGTTGCAAGACGCCCGAGTGTTTTCAGATTCTTAGTTTTCCAACAACAGAACGCTGCAAATACCAAGCGTTATTGTCCCCCAGCCCATCCCCAAAGGGAAACGTTCAAATTTTCATTTAACGTACAAAGGCACGTCAAAAACATTTTCCTCATGTAATGGAGACAACGATGTCTTCATGCGACATGACACACAGATCATTTGTATTCTAACGGCAGAATACATTAGATACCGGGAGTTATTCCCCTCCAGCCCACACCCTCCCAAAACACGTGACAGGCGTGGGAAGGTATGCGATTGAATTCACATGAAATCAGGGGACCATTGAGGAGATAGTTGTTATAACCAAACGAATTCGGAGGGCCACTGGCAGAAGAACGCCAAAACCCCCAGGGTCGCCACAGCGTGCGTGAGCAAAAAGGACATGCGCACGCATGTGCAACCTGTTGACACCACATTGAACTTTGGTTATATGCCATGGCTAAGACAACTCAGCTGTTTGCCCCTAATGGACGAAACACCGGTAGTATCTTGGTTATTTTTTGGGTGGGGCTGAGCAGGCTTGACTGCCACCGCCTCCGTACAGAGTTTGCCACCAAGCCTTGGACCAGGGGACCACCAACAAATGCGGTTCGACCTGTGGCCTAAACTGCTTAGATTGACTGCAGACATAGAGAGCCACAACTGAAAATCCGGAAGATACTTGCCGAGTCGCAAGGATCTTCGGACAGATTGACCCAGAACCGCCAGTTTCTCTAATGCGAAGCTGTACCTCACTGGATGCCGCAAAAGCAAGCCAGCCAGAGTTGACTTCGGAAGACCCGCGAAGCGCGAGTCGTGCAGAAAGGTTTGACTTGACGACCGCTTCATGATGGCTTCATGTCCCTACAGCATCCCAGAGTTGCTCAGCCCGATCACAGCCCTTTGAACTCTCACAGTTTTTGAGCATCTTTGAATTTTTTAAGCTCGTCGGAAGCGCTTCAATGGCTGGCTTTGCTCCAAGAGCTGGACTCAAAGCACACGTTCACACGCCACACACTGGAGCCAGAAAGCGCCGACGGCAGAACCACTATCTATTTAAGGCGGTCCATGATCATGACTCAAGATGCGGCAGCTGCAAGATCAATGACTGAGGCTGATGTTCGCATTGACGAACCAAACGTGAAACTAGTAGCACCCCCAAGCACCCCCGTTAAAACTTCACTGGTCACAATTCGGTATATGAAAAGGTACCCCCTACAAGGAAGAAACTCTCCACAGAATAAGTCCACCATCACGACCCCCTTATACAGTCTCCGCGGGGTGAAAATGCATTGTTCGAGTGCACCAAATGGAGGCAACAAAGAGAGCGGCAGTGGTACGCTGTGGAGGCCCCATTTTTACGATGTTTTTGACATATTTGTAAAAAGTTTATGTTGTTGAACCTTTGGTGGGCAGGGTGGGACGCTAAGTATGGCTTTCAGTTCGGCCTCTCGATCAAGTGCGGTCACTAGCCTACTACTTTCTGAAAAGGATCTTTCATGAACCTACATTGTCACGCAGCCAATGGTTGCACTTGCAGAGACATGGAGAATGTGCCAAAGGTCGCAGGAGTGGAGCGCTTTGTTACTGACTCCCTGCGCACACCACTCAGTTTTGCAAGGGCATCCTCCTTCCACCTGTGCATTTTGGTATGGGAACTTGTGGAATCAATGACAAAGCCTGGCAACTGCCACGCTTTTTATCTTCAATGGGGTCATGCCATCCACGTAACCATTATGTTTTCTGGGTACCTACGAACACTGCTGACGTGTAGTCCTAGCAGCCCACGCTTTGGACTGCGGTTGGCAACGGAATGCGAGTCCCTATAGAGGATGTTGAAACTACTTTGGTTTGTTACTCCAGGCCATCTTAAAATCAATCCAAAAGCTCCTGGCCTGGACCCTCATATGGAGGGATCGGACCCAAATCCTTGGGGGTTCTCACCAATCCCCAAGTTTTGAGGGACCGGTCGGGGGGTTATCACGGAGCGTCGACGAACCAAGGGATCTTTGGAAGGTCTCCCTATTCTAATACTCATGACCTATGTATCTGCTCTTCACTCATGCAGAATCTGTGGCAACTGGGCCCACTGGGCTCTTCGGCCATTTGAACACTCGAACTGACCGGTCTCGGTCCGAAACCGGACCGGTTGGCTCATGAGACCTAGCTTGGACCTGAGCTCCTTGGATTGGCGGCTCCCAGGAACCTTGCAAAAAATCACCTGATCCATCCTGATCCACAAGTCCCCAGGTACAGTACGATATCAAATACAGTCCCCCAGCCCAGCTGTTGGACCAAATGCTTCTGGACAAAAATTAGAAGCACCCGGACGCTCCAAGTGCCACACTCCGTCACACCTTCATGCGGATCTGGAGTGTTTCGTAACATCATCAAACCACAAATCTGAAGTCCCTACGGCTCCTGGCCCACCTCCGTTTCGAAGATGGCTGGGGTGGGTGCCAGGGGGGTCTAACCACCGAACCTGAGATGGTTGGAGCCCTAGGGAGTAATCCTCCTTTCACAATGAGAACAAGAATGCCAAGTCGAAGAGCTACGACTTCTGACGTCCCAACATGGGGTTCTGCCAAAGAAGCGTCTGACTACCTACAAGGCCAAGGGGGAGGAACGGTTCTTTGGATCATGCTACGTTGGTGTCACATGGGGAAAACACTCCCCAAAGTGGTTTCGAAGTGAGGCATGGCCCGGTCCAGACTCTGACCAATTTCGGAAGACCAAACAGGTCGTGAACTCTACTTCCATGATGATTTCACCCTAGGGATCCACGAACCTTCTTAGAAGGCCAACTTGGACCCTCCAACTCTCAGAGGGCCTTTGGATAATTTATCATTTCAATGTTAGATTCTATAAAGTAATGAAATTTAAAGTGATAGATAGTGTCAGGGAGTGTAACAGCAATGACAAGCTCTTGGTGGATGGCCACAAGCTTGAAGCGATCCGCCTAGCACCGGGTTTTGGGCTGCCAGGGCCCAAGGGTTCGGATTTGGACCCACAGCCACATTCTCGGGCCCTCAAATGTGAAATGTTTTGAGGAGCATCCAAAAGCATTTCATCACTCTTCTACCTCCAACCATTTCATGCCTTCCCAGTCCTTCGGTCCTTCGGGGACTGCCTCCCTTCCCTCTCCGCGGCGCACATGTCTTCGATGGAGGCACGCCGGGACTCCGCAGCTGCGGACTCCGCGCTGAAGCTTCCAATCCGGAACTCCTCCCGACGCGGCGGTCGCTTCCACGCAGCGGGACTCCACCCACTCCAACTCCGACGGCATCGCGAAAGAGCGGCACATCTGAAGCAAGTTGGGCACACACCTTCCGTGGCACCCACCCTAGTTCCGTGCCACCCACCTTCTCAAGAGATGCTAAGAACCCTATAGAGTTCCCAGGGGTTCCCTATACCCTTTCTGTTTTCGGAGGCGACCGGACCGTGGACGACCGCACCAATGCGGCGTGTGGCTTCGGTAGACCAGAGGACCAGGCTCCTTGGAGCAACGAGTTGTGTCACAGGGAGATCTTGTGGTGTTTTGTTAGACGGTGGCGAGTTGTGTCACAGATTCCTCAAGCTTCTGAAACACACCCTTCACAAATTAAGGTTTTTTGGGACAATTCACCACCTTCGATTCCCACCAACCAATTCCTGTGTTTGTTAAACCATGGAGTCCAATCCATGGGCCACCAAAGACTGTGCCGTGGGCTGGGTAGTCTAGCCAGAGCACCCAAACAAAATGGTCCTGGTGTGCATTGATGCAACAAAAAATGCAAGGTACAAATGCAGTGTAACTCCAAGAAAACCCCAAACATCACCCCGCAAACATCACATCCACAAAACCGCCAACATAGATGTACACAGGTTCACCCTCTTCAGGGCTGCAACTTCATACATTCATCGATTGCGCCGACCTGTAGATCTCTCCCAGAAAAAAAACAAAACAAAACATGTGATCCTCCCAAGAAACAAAACACCATGTCCCTGAGCACTGAGCAAGGTCAAAACTTTGCTAGGTAATTCTACTGTTTCTGCTTCAATCAAGGATCTCAGGGGTGAGGTCAAGGAGATGAACCAAATGGCAAGCAAAGCAACATCAAGAGCCAGCAAAAAATAGAGGTTTGTCTGGCAAACCTTGGCAAAAGGTTATGATGGCAAAGCAGGACAAGAAGGAATGGAAAGCAAACAAACATCATTGGCAAAAAGGTTGTATTGTGAAAGAAGACCACAACAGCTAGCACAAATCCCTTGGCTCAAAGGGGAGAATTTCGTTTTCAGGGTGGTTTCCTTCGAAAAAACAGCCACAATATGGATGGCACAAAAGGCCAAGGGTTTTGTTCTTTGTCAATAGGGACGTGACATGCCACAATAGATGTCACAAAAACCACAGGGCTTTGTTCTTTGTCAAGAGGAACATGCCACAATAGTTTGCATAAAGGAACTGCCAGAAAAGTTATTTTTCATGTGGTTGGTTTTTTGGAATATGGGAGTGTTAGAAGAGTAGTTGACAAAGGACTGTCCCACAGCCATTTGGGCTGATCAAAGGAAAGGCTGGGAGAGGTTTCAAAGCCGTGAAGCGGCCTGCATCTTCTCAGAAGCGGCCAGCGTCAAAGAGACCAGCTTCGAGGTTGAGGACAGACTTTTTGGGAAAGGCGGCTGAAAACTAAAGAACTATAGAGTTTATGTATATAATATTATGTTAGAAGGGGCTGCATTTAGATCCATGATGCCAAGTGCAAAGGTTCATAGCGACAAACACCTGTCATTGACACACCGCAGCTCCACAATGCCCAAAGCCCTTCAGCTTGGTGATCTTTTAAGAAGACCTTGCTTTGCTCGAATGGCCGTTGCTTTCAACAATTTCTAGATTCCGCCGAAGCAGTGTCAGTGGAAAGGGAAAGATTTGCAGCGTTAGATGAACGCCGGAAAGAAACTTAGCTACAGACGATACTCTTTAAAATTTTCATTGTTGTCATATGTTGTAGTTCAATAAATTTGATTCAGGCTTTAGTCAAGATGAGATCTGCAACCAAAATTCAGGAATCTCTTCTGCGGGAATGGTACAATGTAACGGAAGAGTTTGTTGCGGCTCCTCCTGTGGCGGATCCTTGCACACTATTCCAAACTGACTCTGAAGATGAGAACAATTTACTGTTAGAAACTGACTCGGATGAAGCAGAACCTGGCCCGGCTTCTGATCAAGAAAGTGTTGGGGAGATTCTTTATGAGACAGATTCTGACTGCGCTGGTGAAGCGCCCCTATCCAAAAGGAGAAAGTACTCTGAAAGGAACAGGTCTGAGCCGTTGAATTTTTTGGACAAGCAGGTATGCAAGCACGCACATGCTCGCCTTTATGGCATCGGCGCTGGTGCCCTGCAAAGGCTTCGAGAGGGTAAATCTGCTTTCTCTATGCAGCAGAACCGCTTGGAGGAACCAAAGCACAAAAGATGGTTCCCTTGAGGATTTGGGTCCTGAAGTTCTTGACAACGTGCTGAATTTGGAGGAGTTCGGACGAGGTTTTGAACCAAATCCAACCGACACGTTCCTAGTCACAAAACGATGGCTCGCTGATCACACTGTTTTGCGAGCAATTTGTGTTGTACCTGAGTCTATGGCCAAAAACATTCGAACAGGATTCACACTTCCCCGTGGGACCGCTCCGAGACGGAGTATCAGTGAAAAGGTTCGCAAGAACATCCAGGTTCAAGATGCCCAAGTGCCACAGAAAAAGGTGACTTGTCCGATGAAGCTGCTCGGTATTTGCTGCAGTGGAGCTCTGGAACTTTGGCTCGTGTTCCAAAGCCGACATCTTACCCGATCCTGAACCATCGCTTCAATCTGGACTTGAGGGCTGAGATTCATCAGAATGGGCATTGGGAACGGCCCAGAAGACTTAGGCATTATGATTTGACACCAGAAGGTGATTGTGCCAGCGATGACAGCTCTGAATCCGAGGGCGTGCTGGATCTCCCTGTAGGCTTTGAAGATTAGCTTTGCCAAAACAGGCTCAACATAAAAGAGGGACTGACTGTGCCAATTTGGGGTACTTATTAGCTCCTCGACTATTATACTAGGTTTATGTTCATTCATAGTTAACATATACAAGAATCAAATTAGTTAGCAGACACCCTCTGCCAGGACAAATGCTGCGAACGCCAAGATCTCCTCTGATGAGTCGGAACATTCGGTGCTGCTGGGATCTGATGTTGAAGACAACACAGGAGAAGGCCGGGTCGGCCTGTTTCTTGTAATATCATGTAATATCTTGTAATCTATGGTCCCCGCTTATTTTTAGGGCTGCATGTTATAAAGCTTTCAACTTTCAACTTTTTGAGTATTTGGTTGTTCAATCAAACCAAAAATGATCCAGCCAAAATACACGAGGTGAACCACAACAAAAGACTCAGCCCTGGTTCAGGTCCAGAGCTTCTCTTGGAGTCGGAGCCAGAGTCCACGCGGGCTGAGGTTGGCTCCAACGACGCTCTGAAACTTGATGCCTTGAGCGGTGAACCATGCGCTGCTTGACTTGAATTGCAGTTTTTCTTGTTGAGGGGCCTGGGAATTCGCTTTCTGGCTGACCACTCAAGTCATGGTGTTTAAATGTTTTCATATGTTTTATTAATTGCGTTGTGCGTTCAGCTGAGATTCATGGCTTTGTGCGAGATTTCCTTCAGAACCCGATCTTTCACGAACTTCAGGGTCGACTATCTCGCCTCTTCCACCAGCGAGATTGCATCACAGTGGGCAGTCTATTCTCAGGATGGGGAGTTGCGGAGATCCTTTCGACTGCTTTCCTTTCGGCCGATCCTTCGCTTCAGATCCCTTTGGCCCTTCAGTAGCTTCACGTTTCTCTCTCAGCCTGGTTGTCGCTTCCTCTAAGGCCTTGATCTTCTCTGATGTCTTAAGGCCTTCCTCAATGCTCCAAAGTGTAGATTTCTCTAGTCCATGCTCCAAGCCTCGCTGCTCAGTCTCAATGAGTCTCCGTCAACGAAATCTGGATGGAGACAGCGCTGTGGTGATGAGGGAGTGGAAGATTCGGGTGGTCTCATCGTCCCCCACCAATGTCAGCTCCGCGGGGTCCAGGGCTGAAAGAATCTGAACTTCCTCTCCAAGCTCTGATTCAATCAATGGCCTTCGCTCCACTAGGACCGACCACTCGTCCAACAGCTTTCTTCGGAAGCCTGCTAGCAGCACACTTTATCAAGCCTGCTAGCAGCACAGGGGAAGCTAACGAAAATAGTTAAAGGTTAACCATGTTCTACCTGTTTTTGTTTGAGTTTAGTGGGGAAAGCAAATCCAAAAAGGCTAAATGTAAATCCACTGACTGGGCAGGTCTTCATGTTCTTCTCCATTCCAACGACCCATTCCTTTGAGTCCGGTCCTGTGGCTCGGGCCACCGCGCCAACGCCGCCGACGCCCGGGCCGACGCCCTGGACGCCCTGTGCTCCGCGCCACTGTCGCTCTCGCTGTCATCCTGGCCGTGGGAATCCGTGGGTCCTATGTCGTTATGTGATGTAGTGCGCACTCAAAGGAAAGTGATGCTGCCTTCAGAAGGAGGTGGAATGGCAGTTGCTCATATGGCCAGGGGTCAGGGCACTAGGAGCCTTTGGTGTTACCCACGCTGAAACAGTGTAACAGAGTATAACACCCAAACACTCCATGTATGGGAAAAAAGGAATCTCCTCCTGGCCCAATGGGTTTCCTGGCCGGTTTTTGAACGGTTTTTGTGGCTCCAAACATTCAACCAGCCCCTCCTAGTCGACGAGGCACACGACCCATCGACCCATAGACTCGAAGTCCGAAATCGGCGCTGGGGCCTTAAACACAGACTTTCTTGTGGCTGGGATCCGCTGGAACCGCTGGGATCCGCTGGTCCCTTTTCTCTGTCTGAACTCTGTTCGATTTGGTCGTAACATGTCGTAACCTGACAGGTCGTCAAAGCGAGTCCAAAAGCTGCAGGGGTTGAGATGGCTCAAGTAATTAGTATGAATTTAGCAATTGTATAAAACAGAACAAATAAAGATACCGGTGACAAACCAAAAAGCGAACATGGCAGTGGGGAAAATCTACAGATGACAGATGTGATTTGAAACCATGACCTAAGGCTTAAGGTGCTGAAATACTATTACCCACAGGCTGCATGTAGGTCACATTGCCGTACATGGTCCATGGTTAAGACATACATGCAGCCTTCATGCAGCCTTTGGCTTTTTTCACATTATATGGAGCCTTAGAGCCCCATGATGGATTGACGAACTCAGTCTCCCCATCGCTTCCCCCTGTCAATGATGCGCCGCGCCTCATGCCAGTGGCTCACCACCCGCGAGCGCCGGCCAGACGGCACGCCGGTGCGTGTCTGCCGGTGCGAACCAGTTCAAAGAAAAAACAGAACAGCCCCAGGGCTCCAGTCGTAGCTTCTGAGAAGGTGGGACTGGGGTGGGTGCCAGGATGGTCCAGTCCTTCTGAGGAAGCACAACTGGCAGGACAGCAGAAGAGGGGACTGTTCTGGTGAGGTCCTTTTGAGAATACGTCGAGGGGGGGCACCATATATTATATCCCAAACACTCCATGTATATGTAATATTTACCTACATTGGGGTGGTTTGAGGGGTCAATGTAGGCATATATGGCAGTCCCATGGAGTGTCTGGGTATTGGTTGTGAGCGAACGTGTTTTCATGTTATTTTCCCGAACAGCTTCATCATCCAATGATTCCAATGATCCAACAAACAGTACAAGGGACACGCCTTGCTATCTCGTGGAGAAGGGACCTGCTGATCTGCAAGAGAAAACCTCCCATTGAGGAGGGAGGTTTAAAGACTGGCAGCTTTCCAGGCTTTGTGTGTCAAGGACGTTGCTTTTTGAGATCAACAGTCGTAGGAACTATGGATAGCAAAGGATTCGGAACGATGCAGGGATGAGGCTTTGGGTCCATCCATCGAATTCCATCAAATAACCCGTGACGAGCAACCCGCGTTTGTCAGTGACGAATCCACCTCACCAACACCGGACGGACTGGGACGAAACCCGCCCCACCAACACCGGTCCAAAACCCTACACCTCCGGTTTTACCTCCTCAGAAGGTATTTAGACCAGGCGTTCCGAAACCCGCCAAGGGACCAGGCTAGACGACCCTGGCTAAACGACGGAAGGTCGACCTCCCTTCAAAAACAGCTGGACCAACCAAAGGAATTTGGTCCTTTTTTCTATCTTCCCAGAGGTCTTTGGTTCCAGTCTCCCTATTCAAATACATCCACCCGGGAAGATTCACATAAAAACCGGGCGACGGGCATGGACCAGACTGGAAAACGATATATAGTTTCCTCGTTTTCCAACCGGTCGCAACATGTGAGTGGATATTGGGCACCCTGACTTCCTCCATGGATAGCACCCCGTCGAACGTGACTGCTGGCTTGAAACTTGAGTTTGAAGCTCCTCCCAAGTCACTAGATGCTGAGGACATGTCTTTTTGTGCACTGGGCGGCCAATTACATACTAGGATGCTTCCATGGCATCAGTACCGGTCTGTGCAGGCAAAATCCAAACATCTTCTCTTGCTGACTTGAGGGTGACTAATGACCAAGTACCTGTGATTTCTCAATTGATACCAGTTGTGAAAACATGGAATGTCCCGTGTCCCTCACTGGAATAGACCACCGTAAGGGTCAACCGCAACCATACCTGACATTTTTTCTTGTTCCACATCATACATCACCTCTACGAATTTGATATGTCCTACTCTTAATTGTTCCACGACTAATTGTCTGTTGGGAGTTGTGTCCTTGCATGGTAGTGCCAGTGTCCTGTTGTTTTTTGTTTGGAACAGGTTCACCAGAGGGTGAAGATGGGTGAGCCATCTCCAATGTTGTTCATTCTTGCAAAACCACCTTTTTCCCACCGGCGGGGAGTAACCATCGCCATCCCCGCGGTCGCGAATCCGACTGAGTTCGACATCTCTTTTTCTCCCCCACCTTTCGCATACTCTTCTTGTTGACCTTCTCCTGAGAGACTGCCGCGAGATGAAGGACCGCGAAGGCATGTGATGTTCCCGTGTGGATCCCATGGGCAATCTCGTAGCGTCCAAGAGAAAAAAACAACACTCCCTGGAAGAATCACGGAAGTGACGGAAGTGGAAAATGATTTCAGGGAGTGCATCTCAATCAGGACCTGTCTGGGACTGGAACATGGACCTGCACTTGACACACTGCAATCAACCACCCAAATGTAGGTGCATATTATGCCAGCCCCATGAAGTCTGGGTATGATGGTTTTGACCTATATTTATACGCAGTACAGGATGTGACTGAACAAAGACTATACAATATAACGATATCATTAGGACTATAACAAACTATAACTGGGCTCATCAAAATGAGCGCGCCTACAAAACTAATCCGCAGTAGTCCGTAATCCTGACCCAGCCTTACAGTCCGTAATCTTTAAAAGCTGTAGGAAGGAAAGAATCCAAACTCCTGAATGGGGGCTGTTGGCTTGGATTTGTAAATCCAATGTAGGGATCCTCACAGACCCGATTTGGAAGCAACAAACTCAAACCACTGAATTGGGGATTCTGGATTGAAGGGTGTTTGTGGCCATTGGGATTGCTTGTGGCCATAGGAATCCTCACAGCCCCGAGTTGGAAACAACCAACTCAAACCACAGAACTCGGGCTCTGGATTGTGAAGGGTGTTTGTGGTCATAGGGATCCGTACAACCATCGCGCCAGCTGGGGGTAATGGGATGGGTAATGGAGCCGAAGGTGCTCCAGGATCAGAGTTTTTTCACCAATAGGAAGGATCTGCACACACCAAACAATCCAAAGCTCTAATCCGTAATCCTAGTCTCAAAACGGGGGCTCTGAGTTCTAATCCATAATCCGCCCCAAACCGGACAATCCGATAGTTTGTAATCCGTAATCCCCCTTAGGATTAAGGATTACGTTTGATGAGGCCAGTATAATGTGACTGACAAACATTTAGGTTTCGTAAGAATGTTTAAACACAAACTACATAACTGTCATATACTGAATGCCACAATGCTTGAGAACACCATTATTTGCAACCCATGGCATGGTTCTCGTTCTCTCAAACACCTCATCAGATGGCTTTCAACCTCCCAAAACCGTTCGTCAGACTCCAGAGATGCGGCCACAGGACTGGAAACCTCTACCGCCCCCAGCCCTCAAACCAGAAACCCGTCGTTTTAGTGGTCTATGGCACTGGCACCTTACAAGAGGGCTCCTTTCTCTTTCATATAAGGGTCGGAAAATAAACCACCAAACTTGGGGATTGTGATGGGATTGTGCCATCTACTCTATATAAAACCACTGTAATCTTGGGATTCCTTTTGGGACCTTCTTGAGAAGATTCATGCATTGAACAAAAACACACTAAACTGGTGTGGCATGCTTTCGCTTGGCATCCCCAAAGTCTTCATAATGCCGAGTACCTTTTGTCGGACCTCCTTAATCTTTCAACACGACGGAGTGTTTTTATGAGGCTGAGGGGAAGTAATTAGGGCGTGTTGTTTAATTGGTGGAAGGGATTATTATATACCCTATGGATCCACATACCTTCTCAGAAGGTACTTGGACCAAGCCCACATAAATAGTCTCCAAATACCTTCTGAGGAGGTACTTGGATCCATAGGGATATAATAAAGTGTATTATATATTGTTTAAACGGGTTGGGTCAAGCAAGGTCTGACTAAGTGGCTGAGTGGTCGCGTTCGCCGCCGCGTTCGCCGCCGTTCGCCCTTGCTGGAGCAGACCTTCTGCCCGGTGATCCCATGCGACTCATCCAATGCGACTAGAAGATATGGACCTTGGATTGTCCCACCAAAAATGAACAGAATACAGGTCAACCCGCGCGAGGGTTTGGGGCTGACCATGGCTGACCAGGTTTTGACTCACAGCCGAGACTCACAGCCAGTCTGGTGCCCCATTTTAGACCCAACCGTCCCAACTGATGAGTCAGCAGTGCCAGTCTGGATGGTCTGGGTGATGCATTCTGGCGCTTCGTGCGACAATCCTCGATGTCGCAATGTGTTCACTCCTTCTTCGCACCGCTGCACCGCTCCGCAGGCCCTTTTTGCTTTCGCCGCCTCTGGGAGAGGGTTTCTCTGCGGAGACTTTCAGTCTTCCCACGACATCTCGATGGCGTGAATCAGGTCCTTGGACGACTACGCGTCGCGTGGGGAGCATGTGAGATGTGCAACCCAAACGCTCAATGGGACTGGGGTGGTTGATTTCAGGAGTCAATGTTGCGAATGGATTCTTTGGGCAACACTAGAGTGCCATGCGCTGAACTGGATCTTTTGTCGCTTTGGAGCGGTGTCTTCTTGGTCTACCAATGGCTGTACGACTCTGAAGGGCGGAGAAGCCTGCAAATGGCTGACCACTGACTTGTTCAGTTCAAAAACTGGAATGTCACTGGAATGTACCCTGTCACCCTGTCACCCTACCAAAATGGTCACCCAGTCGCTTTTCCTTCCGGGCTCAAACCAGGGACCTGGGAGACCCGTATCAACAAGTATCAACACATCCCCTGTCGCACGACGTGACTTCAGGTGGAAACATTGGATTTCGAGGGACCAACCACCGTTGAGCAGCAAAGCCAGCACCTCGCTCTACGGTCGCCGTCCTCAAGCCCTACAGTAGGAACGCCTGAAGTGTTTACCACACTGTTTGAGGAAAAAACAAACAACAATTCCCCATGCCAGGGGATTTTCACGCAGATGGAAAATTAGACACAACCAAGTTCATCGCACAGACACTCGAAATCGCTCCCTTTGCATCTTCGGCAGCTCGACTGACAAGAAAGAAACGATTTTTGACCGACCTGTCTAAATGTTTTGCTGACAATGGCGGCCAGGGCTGATTGATTGATTTGGGGTCGAGCACTGCAGTGGCATAGATATTTTAGTTAATTTTAGTCCCATGATTCAATTCGTGTCTCTGTGCAGTTAGGTTATCCCAGCATTCAAGTCAGAAGGGGTTTCTCGATCCAAGGTGCAGCAGGACGAACCTTCAAGCCCTGCTCAGCCCTTAGATTGCGAGAAGCTGAGAGTGGAATTCCAAGGGTAGTGGAATTCTTAGAGTGGAATCACGCATCCGAGAAGAAGGGCAGCTCTAGTTTGCTAATTACATTCTTCTACATCACAGCTTGCTCTGCGATCGGACCACTTGGAAGACTATGGATCACATCTTGCTATGCCCGCCCCACATGGACCAACGAGTCATGGTGACGAGTCATTTGCTGTCAGACTCGACGTCTCGTCATGGATGAGGTCCGGGCCAGCCTGCAGCCTCCAAAACTGATGTTCAACACTGGGAAGGTCGGAAAACAGCTTCAGCACAGAGTGGTTGGTGATGGTTGGTGAATTCAACTCATCGTCCCGAGCCCGTCGTGGGTAGGAGAGCGTCCCAGGATGGCCCCACTATAGAGGATCTGATCCAGTCGTACCTCCTCAGAAGGTATTTGGAGACTATTTATGTGGGCGCCAGGAGGGTCCAGTCGTACCGAACCTGAGGTTCGGTGGCAGTGGATCCATAGGGAAGGATCTGAAAACACCACCCAGCAAAAGAACATGTGCCAAAGGTCTTCTCCTTCCACCTTCCATGGACCAAACCCGTCGCACCGGTCCGTCCGTGGGATTCCGTCCGTGTTCCGTGGTCGAGGATCAAGCGCTGCATCAAGAGCGGCTGGCAGGTGCGCATCGCTTGGGCAGAGTGAGTTTGATCCATCTTGAAGGACTGCCAGATTCACGAGACAGGCCCGTTTCGCGGTTCCGGCGACCGGCGACTTCGAAGCTCCGATGGTGGCGGATTGACCTCGGCCCCCCAACAACCAGCCCGACTGATCGGCATTTCCAGTCCCAGTGACGTCCTGTTTTGGGGGATGTTGAGGCAATTAGGAGTCCTTCTTCCTGATCGAGATATATTCCTGATGAGCAGCGGTATCAGACGCTATCAGGTTCACCTCTTCACCACTTCCAAATCGGAACAGCACGGAACTCGTGCAAGACATGTAGGCTGTGGATATCGATGTATCGAAGTGCATTCGCACCGTATAGGTGGATTCATCGGACATAGATGGGCAAACAGGCCTGATGCCCAACCTCAGGCATCACAACGTCACGAATTGCGAATTTGTAGATTCATCAAACTCATCCAACTCACCCCCAAACTGGCACCAAGCCTGGGCCTAATTCATCTTTGGGAGGGTCTTCGAAAATCAATCTGAAGAATTCTCCAAAAGAAGGGCCGCCCAGGTCCAACTACCGGGCGACGATGGGACGCCCGGGCCACCCGGGCCTCCTCTGGGATCTCCTCCCCGCCAATCGTCTGGTAATACCAGCCCCTCATCCTGAGCCGTCAGGGCTGCAGCAGAAACCGCTGGGCAGCCGCAGCAAAGCCCAGACCATCGCTGTGGGGGTGTGGTGGTCAGGTGGTCAACAGATGCCAACAGTGCTTATGAGCTCCGAATTGAAGTCCTTAAAACTTGGGTCAGCATCGGTTTCATTCGAGTCAATTAGGGCGGTTGGCTGGTTTGAATGGCGGCTCGTTTTTGGGTGATCTCAATGGTCATGTCTCATGTTTCCCTGAAAAAACATGTGTGCTGAGCCTTTGGTGATTAATTCAGCGCACATTAGGCCTATACCCTAGCCTTCCAAGACCATTGAAAGGTTGACCTGGTTCTGGAGAATCTAGAATCGTTCGTAAATCAATGGTTGTTCGGTTAAAAACCGTGGAAAAACCCATGGCCGTTGGCAAGCTCATGGCAAGCTCATGTTGCTCCACTTTGCTCAAGTGTCGGACCTCACAGCCCCGGAAGTGCAACCCCGGGGTGGCAGTGCCCGAATCGATGCGACCCCCCCGGGGTGGCCAAACACGAAGACTCGATGCGACTCAAGGCCGTCGATGCGACTCAAGGCCGTCGATGCAACTCAAGGCCGCTTACTGTATGTAGAGCAAGTGAAGTTGTGCAAGTCATATCTACCA